TAAGTCTTTGAAAGGCATCACTGATATCAAGGCTCGTCGAAGATCCGAGATCCTCACGAAAATTTCACGGAGCAGCTTTTTCTTCTTTTTCATGTCGTGATTATTTACAGTGGTTCGTTCGATCTTTCGAGTAATAACCCTCTTCACGTTAAGCTCGTGCGATCTTGCATCGATTAGATTATTCAAAGTTGTGACAGCTGCGAGGATTCAGTTTTTGATACTTCCCAAGGGCCCGGAGTAATCCATAAAATGTACTCTAGGAATGGGGGCCCGTTAATATCGAGAGTAGCAGCGGCCTGATGTTTGACATTGAATTATATTGCGTTGCCCCTGGAACTCCGCCGACTCCGATCTACTCCCTCCGGCAGTCGACGATAGAGTACAGACAGGTGTATCTTCTGTAGAACTTCTTTTTGACCAAGGACTTGTTCTTTCACTTGCTGACTGGTCCATGAGCATTTGAAGCATTTCCAAATTCAACTCAGGGGGTCACTATATTGAACGATGGAACCCCCACTGCTAAGCACCGGTTTGACAGCAAGACAGCTGTGGAAGACACAGGCTTCGTAGACCGACCCCGGCAGATCAGGGGCTGGATGACCAAAGGATCATGAACCTTGGTTCAATTTCTAGTAGCCGCTTATAGACCAGATGTGCGCGTACATGGACCCACGAAGATGACTTCGATGGCTTCAATTTGTGATTTCACCCATCTAGCGTCATAGATGCTGTCGATCACTCGCCTTGCGTCACTATGCAAATGTCTGTCTTTTTCCAATTAAGTGAACGCCAGCATGCCAAGGCAATAATCACAGTCCCACTCGCACCACATGCAGTGAGTTGTCAATGAAATTATCATGCCAACCAGTGATTTCCATTCTGTGATATACCGTACATACTATACATGCAAGCACGACGTAACCTTTCTTGGGACATCAACTAATATCCAAAGTTCCCATCAAAGTGTCTTACCACAGCTCACAGGTGGGCTTCTTGTCCTTGCACTGGAAGCTTTCCTTGAACTCACGACTGTTGGACATAGTGCCAAGAATTCGGGCCCACTTGGGCGCATGAGGATCAGTATAGATCCGGTTGATGGCCGTATCCTTCCGAGACATGCCACACCACCAGTTGGAGTACGTGACGAAGAAGAGCTGATCTTGCGTGAAGTGCTCAAGGCCCGGCAGATCCTTGTTGGGGTGCTTGTGGGCACGGCGCTTCCAGGCCTGGTATGAGGCCGAAAGTCCACCGGCATCGGCAAGGTTCTCGCCAAGTGTGAGGCGTCCGTTGACGTGGAGAGGCTTGTCGTCCGGTCCTGGGACAGAGAAGTTAGAGTACTGCTCGACGAAGCACTCGGCTTTGTCCTTGAATGCCTGGACAGTGGCGTCTGACCACCAGTCAGTGTAGTTGCCGTTCTGATCATAGTGACGACCGGTGGAGTCAAAGGCGTGGCTGAGCTCGTGCCCAGCGACAGAGCCAAAGGCACCGTAAGACATATAGGCAGGGACTTCGACGTCGAAAACGGGGAACTGCATAATGCCAGCCGGGAAGACGATTTCGTTGCCGGGAGGATTGTAATAGGCATTGACAGTAGGGACTGTCATTCCCCACTGCTCCCGGTCGACGGGCTTGCCGAGGGCTGACCACTCGTAGCCCACAGCGAACTTGCGAACGGCGAGTGCGTTCTTGAAGAAAGTATCCGGGTTGATGTCGACGGAGTTGTAAAAGTCGTTGAGGCTGGGAGGGTCCATGATGTCGGGGCTCTTGGTCGGGTAGCCGATCTTCTGGATGATGTTCTGAACCTTCTCCATAGCCTTGGTGGTTGTCTCTTTGTCCATCCACTTGGCGGCCTTGAGCTTCTTGGTGAACTCGGTCTTGATATCGGTGATAATAGTGTCGCCAAACTTCTTTGCCTCGGCCGAAAAGGCCTTCTCAACGAAGAAGCGGCTGAGAATCCATCCCAAGCCATCATCGACATGACCAACGCAAGTGCGCCATCTTTCAGGGGCAGACTCGGGGTCCTGGGTAGATTAGTGTCATGCTGATCGAACGGATGGCTTCATGCTTACCTTTCCAGCGAGCTCGTTCTTGAAGCGCTTGTAGGGCTTGAGAGCATCGACGTCGACGTAGGAACCAAGGGATTGGACAGCCTTCCAGACGAAGTAGTTCTGGAGTACCTCCTTGTCGGTCCCGGAAAGAATGGTAGACAACTCAGTCATGTACTTGGGTGACATCATGATGACGCGCTCAACGACAAAGCCCTCGGGGACGAGATCGTGGATCAAGGCCGTGAGCTCAATCTCAGGAGCAAGAGCAGATGCCTCATCAATGAGCATGGGGTTGTATGTTTTCTGTTCAAGTGTCAGTTCCTTCAGACTCCACTAGTGGTGATGGTCCAACTACTCACAGTGACATCCTCGAGCTCCTCGGTGGGAGGGGAGGCGGCTGCCAGAAGCTTCTCGAGATCAACAACCTTGGCGAAGCTGTCCTTGTTTCCATCGGGATAGAGGTTGTTGAGAACTTCAACGGCAACTCCGCGGTACTTCTCGACAAGCTTCTCATCTTCGTATCGTTCCTTTGAGGGAAGTCCCAGGCTGTAAGGAGGTGCGACAGAAACAACAACAGTATCGGGATCTCTGTCGTCCGCACCGGTTCCAGTTGCAATGAAAGCGTTTACTCCGTATCTGGATAGAAGAAGAATTGTGTCTTTGGTCGGGCTAGGGTCGACAGAGGTGGCCGCCTCAAGAGGGTAGCTGTTCTTGATCTCATCCAAAATCTGGATGAGGGGCTCGACTCCGGTCTCCTTGATCTTGTCCTCGTCAACACAGGCATCGTACGATGCCTTCATCTTGTCAAAGTTCTGCTCGTCGGCGGACTTATCGGTGGATTCCAGACGGAGGGGCGAGAAGTACGAGTGCTAAAAATCAATTAGCAAATGACGTTGACCATGACATGATGGTGCTGACCTGGGAGTCCTTGGGGTATGGTGCCTCGAGGATGTGACGAAGCAGCAGCTCCGAGTTCTCGGACATGATGGTGCCGGTGAAGGCATCGCCTTGGTCGGCACGAAGGTCGTGACGGTCTCTCCATCCTCCGCAGACGAGCTCCTCAAAGTCGTTGCATGGGTCCAATTCCTTGTAGTCCGGCGATAGGTTGTACAAGATCTCCGAAGCGGCATGAACACAAGCCGGTGTCATGCAAACGGGCGTCTTCTCTTCGTGGATGGGTTTCTGAGCTACACGAACAGGTCTTAGTAACCGTCTACAGAGTCATACGAGGTGTCACGAACCTTGCGGGATGTTGTAGTACAGCAAACCGGCAGCAGTAGCCAAGACGAAGACCTTGACTACGGCTTTCCCCGCAGAGCACCGTTGGGCGTACGGGCACCGCGTGGGCCGGCCGTAGGATACGCGCTGCCCCGGCTCCGGGATCAGCGGCGCCTTCTCCGACATGACGAGCGATTGCGTGATGGTGGCCTAGTGATAAAGCTATGGCGATAAGGCGATAGACGAAACCAGCCAGCTGAGAATCGAGATGTGTGTGTATATGTTGATAAGGAGAGATCCAATGACTGGATGGATGGTGGTTGCAGATGGGAGGTGGATCGCATGAGATCTGATGGAGCTCTCGGAGCTTTGGGGGAGCTTGGAGCTGGAGCTCTTGGGCGACGACGCTTTGATGCGGAGAAGCAGCTGGAGTGCAGCTGGCGGGGCGATTTGGCCGAGGCTACTTCATTTTTGCGCAAAGTTGGCAGCGGGAGGAAGTATCTCGGGATCGAGCTAGGATGCCTGGAACGGGACGTGCGCCGGGGAAACTCCGCTCAAACTTGGACCCTTTGCTCCTGAGGCCTCTCACTCATGAATCTCATCTCATGATCGCTGATAGTGAGCTTCTCACTTGACTACTCACTTTGAGCAACCATGATTGAGATTCTTCTTTCCTACATTCATATAAATCGGAACTCCGGCAGTAGATATTCTGCTGGAATATCACACCTTCCTTCTCGATGCACCATCCCGTGTCTAGTGTCTCATCCGCTCAGGGCATGTCTGTTCCTACAGTAGCTCTGGCTGCTGTATTTTACAGACATCCGATCTTCACTCATGACCGAGCGTCCGTAATCTTTCCATCAAAGACTGAACAGGCTAAGCTCCGTGGCCATTGATGGACTTTTCGACCGCCTAGTGTGGCGCCTGCTCGTGGCTTGTAGTTGTAGCCTCTACTCTAGCCTCAGTCCTGACTAAGACAGACTAAGACAGACTAACCTGTGACGGAGGAAAGCCATCTTCCAGAACTAGCTTTCAAGGTTGGTTTGTTGAATCAGACTCGATAGAAAATTCGACATCGAAATTCACGCTATCGTGGCTATTCCGGATATACCGGATCAGATATCATCCATTGAACATCGAGTCTAGCGGGTTATGATTTCCGATAACGGCTCGAAGCATTTCGAGTATTGTGACTTTACCTTCGGCTTCTCAAGCAATCAGAGCCGATAGCATCTTTGCAAGGAAGAGTGTCAGTCAATTCATCGTGCGCGTGACTACGTATGCCAAGATCTACCCCACGCTTGAGATCACCAAATTCATACTACCCCTCACCACCAGCCAATCCTCCGGAGATATAAGCTGCAGTTTGGTTACTTGAACTCGGCTGATTCACCGCTGGCTCACGTTGCATTACATTAACGCTACGCCAGATAGGAAGTTCGCAGAATGTCACGTAGGCATGGTGAGATGCGGGATATGCTGGCTTTGCAAGAGAGATTGACTCAAGGCATTGGCCTTCGACAGTCTTTCCTTGGGGACTGCCTTGATTATGCTTGCTTATGGAACTTTTGACCCTTGTAAGAGGGGTTCATGATGTGATGAGCATACGGCACTCTTGAAAGTGCACATTTATAAGTAACTCAGACATGTCTGAAGAGGTAACATCACTCAGATGACACCGGACTTTCATGATTATCAAGTACATTGTGGGAATACTGCGGCAGCTTCGTCATGCGACAAACTCTTCTGTCATTGACCTTGATGGCCACAGGCATCTACGCCTGCCAACGCGACTGGGCCGCCCTGGACCGCCGAATCAAGCGCCACAGTCACCATGATCATGGACACAAGAAGCGAGATTTGGCAGTAGAATACCCACCTTCCCTTACAGAGTATGAGTCGATACTTGTGAACTCCTTTGATAGCAAATCGCTAGACGAATGGTCTCACTATTACACATCTGGAGATCATCTCGGTGGGCACAACCGGACTCAAGCCGAGTGGACACAACAAAAGTGGATTGATGCTGGCTGGGATGCTTCTATTGAGGAGTATTGGATCTGGTATACTGCTCCGCTTGAGACTACCTTGAGTTTGAGCAGACCAGATGGAAGCATCCACAACGTCAGTTTGATTGAGGACATGCTGGAAGAAGATCCTACGACGAGCTATCCCAACCGAATTCCGGCCTACCATGCGATGAGTGGAAGCGGCAGTATTAGTGCCGAATATGTCTACGTAGGGTATGTTGGACCCTGGTGTCACGAATTAACCGCCATTATTATAACTGACTTAGATGTAGTCGCGGACAGAGGGGAGACTTTCAAGCTCTGAAAGATGCTGGGATTGAACTGGAAGGCAAAATTGCGCTCTCCATGTATGGTGCGATTTATAGAGGGACCAAAGTGAAGAATGCGCAGGTGATAAATCTCACCAGATTGGCGGGCTTGTTTTGAAACGCTGACAATCTAGGACAACGGCATGATCGGGGCTGTTCTCTTCACCGACCCTCTTGACGACGGAGAAATCACCGTTGCCAATGGCTATCTTGCGTACCCAGGTCAGTCATCGTTACCGTCCCTGGTCCCAAATATTCCACAGGAGGCAGACTTGGCTGACTCATTCGATGCCCCTAGATGGCCCTGCTCGAAACCCTTCCATGATCCAGAGAGGCAGCGTCCGCTTCTCGTCGCTATACTCAGGTGACCCCTCTACAGTTGGATATGCCTCAGAGAAGGACGGCCCGAGGAACGACGTGACTCCCTACAACCCTACCATTCCATCCGTGCCCATCAGCATGAAAGATGCGGTACCCTTACTCGCCGCTCTTGATGGAAGCGGCTTATCCGCCGAGCAGGTTAACCGCAGCAGCTGGATCGGGGCGTTACCGAACATCACTTACAGCAGCGGCCCAACACCAGGTGCCACCCTTGACATGGTCCATTTCATGAACCAAACCGTCGCACCCTCTTGGGATGTTATTGGCATCATCAACGGAACTCATCCCGACGAAGTGCTCATCATCGGAAACCACCGCGACGCTTGGGTTATTGGGGGTGCAGCGGATCCCAACTCGGGCTCCGCGGTTCTCATAGAGCTTTCTAAAGCATTCGGAAAGCTCCTGGATAAGGGATGGAAACCCCGCCGTACGATGTAAGTGTATTCTCTTCGGCCTCATTCAGTAAATGAGGAGCCATGGCTCATGTGACGTCTAGCATCTTGGGTTCTTGGGATGCCGAGGAATTTGGCTTGCAAGGGTCGACTGAATGGGTAGAAAGTCACTTGCCTTGGCTCGTGACGAACGCTGTCGCCTATTTGAACCTCGATGTTGCTGTTTCGGGACCTCGGACTGCTCTATCTGGGTCAGGTGAGATCCAGACAGTTGCCATTGAGATGATGAAGAAGGTCCTTTTCCCAGAAGACTGGGTCGTCGGCCCAACCTTGTATGACATGTGGTTCAACACTACCGAGGGCGAAGTTCCTCCTCTGGGAAGCGGCAGTGATTATGCTTCGTTTTACCACAATGGTATCAGTGCGGTAAGTATCCTGGTATACCCATTCCAGGATATTTGATGCTGAAACAAAAACAAGATTGATATCGGATCTGATGGGGGAAAGACTGATCCCGTCTACCATTACCACGGGTAAATTTCAGGCCTTTCACATGATATCTGTGGTGTATGTGACTGATAGAGAATAGGCACTACGACTCGTACACCTGGATGGCAAAATTTGGAGACCCGGGCTTCAAGATCCATCGGGTAATGGGCCAGTGGCTCACCCTGATTGCGTATCACATTGCCGATGATGTGATCATCCCATGGGATCTGCCCAATGCCGGACGTGTACTACGAACCTACTTTGAGGACCTCAACGAGACTATCGCCGAGGACTACCCCGACCTGAGCCTATCGCCCATCAACGACGCAATCACCGAGTTCGAGGCCGCAGCCGAGCGCATTGCCACAGTCGCCAAGCAAGCCCTCACCTTCAACGACACAGTCCTTATTGACGTGATCAACGGCAAGTACCGAGACTTTTCACGTGGCTTTGCAAGCGCTGGCGGTCTCCCTGGGCGTCCGACATTCCACAATGTCATCAGCGCTCCCGGTCTTGATAACGGCTACGGCGCCGATGTCTTCCCCGCCGTGCAAGATAGTCTCAACTCTGGTAACGAGACCCAGGCAGAAGAGTGGGTGGAGAAGAGCGCTTCTGCAATCTCCCGCGCAGCGGAAATTTTAAGCATCTGAAATATGCAGGTTTTTGTGTTCTCTTTGCCTTTTTTCTGGTTGTTACTTTACATGAACTGCACCTAATACATCGCTCCAAAGAAATCTAAATATCAATCTGCTTCGCAGTACAGTCAGGGTATTGTCGATGCTTTTCACACTCCTTCACCAGTCCCATTACCACCAACATTGTCGTTTACGGATACATAGTCAAACAGGCATTACCAATCGCTGATCTTGCTCCCCTTCTGTGAGTCTCCGTACAGTGAGCGATCCCGGTCGCTGGGGGAAATCTGCAGCAAGCTATCGCTTGTAGTAAGTCGCTTCAGCGGTACCCGATCGGGCGTCAAGGTAGCCAGCGAGTCTTTCTTCGTAGAATTCGCGGTCGAACTCTCAGCGAGATCATCTGTGTCAATGGTTGCAATGTCCTGGGACACGATCTTGACGTTGCCGGAAGCTCTGGTGGAAGTTCTATTCGTGGAGATGTTGGTGACGTAGAGGAGCTCGGGGAAGAGTCGTCGGACGAGGGCCCGGGCTGCAGGCATGCATGCTACAATTGTTCCCACGCAAAGCTCAATATGAGACCAAAGTGCCAGGCCGAAGAAGTCGTCTGAGAATAGTACATTAGCAAGAAGTATGCAATGATCATTGATTACCGTGGAGCTTACAGGTCGGGTTCCACGACTTGTTGAACTGCGCTACGCTGCGCAAGCGGATAGCACTGACAATCGTGACGCTGTTACATACAGGTTAGTCAAGATGAGGTAGCTGTAACATATGCGACTAGACTCACAAGATTCCCACGCCAAACATGGACATGATCCCTGCTTTCTGCCTTTTCTGCAAGTTGAGCTTGTAGATCTGCGTCGCTGGTAAAACCAGCATCCAGAGATCAAGAGCAATGTTGATGGCCGCATGGGACAAAGCCATGGCAGACAAGTCGATGCATTGACCAGGATGCCTGCCATCCCATCCAAACCAGAAATAGCTTAGAGGCTTGCATTGGTTCAGGTTGACGATGACAAATGTGACGCATACGACGATGTTGAATATGTGTGTCGCCCAGAGGATTCGGCGGAAAGTCTCGGTGAGTGCTCCGAAAATGCGCAAGTACAGGAACAGTATCGAGGCTTTGATGAAGGCGAGGGTCACAGAGTAGACAATCTCAAAGGCGAAGAAGCCCTGAATCATACATGTTAGTAATGTCCTTGATGTCTCGTTCGATGGGTATGCTGGGTGCCCGAACTCACCCTGATGAAATTTGTGATCTGATCCACTGTGAGCGTCCAAATGTCTTTTCCAAACCCTTCTTGCCTTCCAAGATGTGTAGCAACCAAGAACGCAATCATCATCACCTTTCGATCTAGCGGTCAGTTAAGTCCTCATCTCAAGGCTGCTCTGCTGGGCTTACGTATGCAAATGTAATGGTCGTATCGTCTAACCCCCACGTCGATAAACCTATCCATTTCGTCGCCAAGCGCATCGCGAAAGACAGGGTCACCACCGCGAAGAGAAATGATGGAACCCATGCGATGGATACACCTTCATCGTGATATGCGAACCCGCAGTCTTGCCATGTTCGATTCTTCGTGACTAGCAGGCTCATGTTAGCATCTCCCTCCGTAACGTACTCTTACATCAGCTCGATATACTCACTGAGAGCTTGCTGCACACTGCACTGGATTCGAACGCAATGGATCACGGCCATGTTATAATTCATGTCTTCGCAGAGACATGTCGAGTTACTGAACTGGCATGCTGTGTAATCGAGCGGTTCGAATAGACATGGTAGCTAGGGTGACTTGTCAGCACCCTCCGACCTCGAGTGCAAAAGGATCCTGAATGACTTACTGCACAGTCAGGTATATCGTCGTACAGGCCATACACTAAGGGTAGGCATGTCAAGAAAGACAGGGAAAAGATGTAGGCTTTCATCGCAAAATTTTTGTGGTTTTCGCTGTGGTATCAAATTGTGCGGTGTTCAAATCATGACGGAAGTGAAGGCGTCCGGGGGCTCGAAGAGCAGCGTTCCGATGAACACCAAAGTCAGAAATGACCAGAGCACGAGATTGGGCAGAGAATGAACAAGAAAAAACTGTGCAACCATGAGGGGGAGAAATGCATGGGAAGGGTAACAAATATGGGTGAGGGTGCGGCTCGGATCAGCCGCCGGGAAGGACGGGGCGTCGTCGTGCAAGCCACGGCGGAGATGGCAAAGCAGCCTTCCGGGTGCGGACAAGTCGGCCCAGACCACTGGGGCCGTCATCTGAAAGACTGCATGACGCTTGGAGGGGAAGAGGGGATGGGGTGGGCGTGTTCAGGTGTCATCACTCGTACGCTTCTACAGTATCCCACGTTTTCCGCCCGGCCGATGACTGCCTTGGGTGTGAAGACCATGGTCTCCTGGGGTGACTTTACGGCTAGACCCTGAACCGGGGGACAAGGTCTCAGATGCCCGCGGACAGATGTCCCGCAGATATTCGCTTCTCTCGCCGAGGCGTGGTCAGCGCCCCAGAATCTGGATCGAGGGGATGATCGGAGCCGGCAAGAGGTCTGAAGTCCGTGTGGATTGGCTCGTCGTTCGCTTAGTTAAAGTTTGAAAGCCTTTATGAGGAAGATTTCCGACTTCTGGAAAGCACGTAGCGGGTAAGCAGGCCAAGCAGACATGGCAAGACCGCCGAGGGTGGCTCGCCATTCATCTCTGGTGTTGGCGGAACGAGAAGTGTGTTAACCGAATGCGGCTCAAAAATGCTTTCAAGCCTCTTTTTCTCTCTCGCTTTCTCTCTCGCTTTCTCTCTCTCCCGACTACGCCCCATCCTGCGCCTCACCAGCTGCCGAAGGCACAGTCAAGCTTGACCATAGCTCAGAGACACGACTAGCTCCGATTTGGGCTGTGGCGGCTTGCCGACTCCATGTCGGATCAGCCACTAGGCCTCGAGCATCCCTTTCAGGAATGTGTTGGGGCCGGGCATTATCACGTTTCGGGGCATGGCTCTCGCTTGGCACCGCAACGCTAGCTCTGCATTCTTTCGATGTGTAACTGCACTCTTCCGCTTTGCTGGCGATATGCCGAAGATGGCAACGAAGCCTCTTGGCGCAAGGAAAAGCCGGCGTCAGAAAACGAGAGGAATTGCCGTTGAACCAGAGTTCTGGGAAAATGGATTTCGCTTAGATTGATGATAACCTCAAAGAGAGACTCCAACACGGCAGACCATAGCTCGACAGCGCTGTGCTGGCTCTTGATTGCGCCCATTACCTGAACTTGAAGAATCGAGTACTATCAGTCGATCAACTCGCAGGGTCAGTCAATTACGGAGGCCAATGTGAGATCTGAGTACTATGGGTTCATGACCACATACCACGTTCCCGAGCTCGAAGGCCTCTCTGTGTCGGACTTCCGACTTTGCCAAGTGTTTCCGATTCCCAGTATGATACCATGCGACCGGATGTGGATAGAATCTCATCAGAGGCACGAAAATCTTCAACGAAACCCTCCCAAGCGTGCTGTCTCTACACGGCTGTCGGGCACACCTTAACGCACGCGGCCTCCGTCAGCTGTCTCTCCCTCCTCGATCTTGACCGAAAACGTGTATACCCGCTTGGCAGATTCCGAGTTGTGCCATTCACTCGGCAATGACAATGTAGCATTCCAGAGGTGGGTTGAGGGGGACAACAAGGACACCGGTTTTGTGTAACCGAGCTTATTGTCGACACACTGAAGATATACCCCGGGGAATACAAGTCATCCGCCTTCACGCCTGTTATAACAACGGTTTCCCTCGTTTTCGGCACTTTTCTGCTGGGTCTCCATGGTCTGGACTTTGCCGGTCTAGTGAACCTGGAACGTAGGTTTGGGCAATATCTGATCAACTGTCCTGCTTACGCATCCGTTGAACGTGCAACGAAGCATGTAAAGCATGTGGAATCCGAGGCCCTGGCCGGTTACAGTTCTGTCCTCAAGTCATTCACTATTTCTCGTGCATGCGTCCAGGCTTCTGGACCCCCACTTTCAGATTCAAGCCAAGGCCACTGTGGACGGTACGATCACTTACATACTATGCAGGCACGCAGGCTGTCGTGTCGACATTTGTCATTGATCAAATATCCTCAACCCAAATTCGGATTTCATTCACGGTGGCAGTATGTGCTAACTAATTATGAGCTGATATTCTAAGAATCTCCGGGATACCGAAGCTAAGAGGGCAAATTAACTTCGAGGTATCATAGTGTTCACCATACCTAGACGTTACAACCGAAGAGTCGAAGGCTAAAACGCCAACAGCCGAGTCTGGATGACACCACCCTGTGCCCAGGGTTTATCTATATCCTGGTCAGTGAGCTTGACGGGTTGTAAGCTCGATCCGGAAAACAGTGTGGCACTACTCCTTTGGCAGCAGCTGGGCCCCTTGGGCGATGGACGCCTATCCTTCCCCGTATAGACTTCGTCAACTATTAGACCCCGGACCTCCTGTGATCCACCAATCTCATCGAGGCAAGCCTCAATGAAACTAGCTTTCCGGCTTTTGTTCTTCTGTGGGAGGTGTTCTAGCCCGGTCTTTCTGTCATCTCCTTATGAGACCAACGCTGTTTAGATTGTGGCTGTTTGTCGGGGTAAAAGTACAAGTACTTTATCAGGCTGTTGAAGGTCATATTCTTGTTTACCTACTGACCTTCAGATAAGTAGCTGGTGATACGGATGATAAGTTCAGTCGAGCCGAAGACGTGCAGCCTCGTTCCATTGCCGTGCTCAATTGTCAGACTACCTGACTCAACCAAACTATACTACCTGGCACCATCCTCCTCCTGATCTTGCAAAGCTGGCATATGTTTTCACGCTCTAGACGACTCATCGGTCTTGACTCTTGCACAATACCTCATGTGGGAGAGAAACAAGAAAATGAAGGTTCAGTCCAGACTACGCGATGAAGTCTACTTATGTTACTTCATTGTGTCGCAAACCGTTCTTGGTGCCAAGTCATATTTGCATGTCACGTTGATTATATGCATATCCCAAGGATTCATAACTGATAGATAACTTAGATACCGGAGTCAGACGCTCAGATGAGTGCGTGTGATTTCAGCTCAAGAGCTAGCTTCATACCCTCGTAAACAAGTATTGCAGTTTACCTACATAAGGCCGGGCTTTTACGAACATGAATGAAGCGATATTTGAATCATGAACAGCTCCATCTTCTTCCCAACCCAAGATTCCCCATACTATTCCGCGAGCAACTGGCCCTTCGAATCTGCATGTACTTACACGACATTGACCACTGGAAGATATCACTCGTGTGGGGGTGTGAATTTCCACGGGTCCGTTGCACTGTCAACACTACCTTGTTTGATGTTGTGAGTACATGTTCCATCATGCAAGTAATCCTAATGTCAACACCTAAGGTGCCAGGTATTATATCACTGACATGTCAAGAATGACGCGACCTGCTGTTCTCCGCTACTGTACCAACAGAGTAGGCGTCGAAGCAAGTCCCAGTCCAAATTGCCTAACCTCGGGCTGGAAGCTCGAGTTTGTGGTTCACCGAACATCTCGTCGTAGGTGGGTCCGTCCCCCTTTTCATCCCATCATCCAACCCACCTACAGCCTCATTCACCTGGACTGCAGGCGCAACCACACACCGCCCTCCAAACCCTTCATCTACAACTTTTTTCTTTCGACGAATACCAGCCCTGGGGGACGCCCCGGGGGCGCATTAGTCGAGCGGTTAAATACGGAGCAGAAAATTCCCTGAGGGGGTGGGACTTTCATACGCCCAGGGTTCAACCATTCGGCCGAACTTTAAGGATAATTTTTCTAGAGATCTTTTCTTTTTTTGAAGATTATGTGATGTTCATAATTGGCAGATTTTGTTGTCCACTTGGTCCTTTTTGTGTCTTTTGATAGAGCTTAGTGGTCTATGACCACCGGAAGGATGTATAAGAGACGTTCACAGGCATGGTTGGTCTAGAGGCAAATTGACATAGCACGTCAGTGCCAGAATTATCGTGCTGGAACATCGACAGAAGAGGTCAATATGGAAGGTGGTATGTGCCGTGCAAACGGTCCTTCTACCCACCTACTTCCACTTCGCAGGAGTCGATGGGCCCGTTTCATCCTCTTTCATGTAAGTACGAATACCTAAGTAAGAACGCAGTTCAACATACAATCTTTGAGCTTTGTCCCGGACGAAAAGTTGCACAGCTGACGTGTATACCAATAGATTTGAATGTGGGATCATTTAGACCGCTACTCAGGTAAGAGCCGCCAGCATCGATGTACGACATGTCCTATGGCTGCCTACTATACATTTCGGTATTATTAGCTTTGTGATGGCAGAACTGGCCTTTGAGCCCTCACATATCCTCACAGACACCTTTTCGCCTAGTAATCTCAAGCCTACGACTCCATACCCCTCCAGTGTATTGATTACAACCTTCACTTAAAGTGCACGCCCTCATTGTGTAGGTTGGTAGATCTCTGTATTATCATTATGTTTGGTACCGAGCTATATCAAAAACTATTACCACAGGTTGCGGCCACGAGTGTAGTTTGCTTTTGGGTGAGCGGGAGTCTTACGAATACATTGGGTCTCTGATAACCTCACTCAATCCTTTAGTGCCATGCCAGACCATCGTGCGGGCTGCTTCCGAGGTCTCCAGAGGCAGAGGCTCGGTGAACGACAGCCATGCCGAGTGGATGAAGGCTGAAAGTTTTGTTTTATGCCGGAAGACTTGTAGATATTGAACCCTTCGACCAGGGCTTAAAAAAGCGCTGAGAATGTATCATTCGACAAACACTGTGATTGATCATAGGTAGTTATGATATCTTCCAGATGACATACTCAATAACCGTAACCGCTGTTTGATGTTCATGATTGTAATCAATTACACTGGTACCAAGCGTCATGAAACAATCAGACGACAGTCGTGGGCACGTCATTAATGTCGCCTCGTTGTCATCAGGGGTATATAGATGCGTTTGTAACGTGCGTAGTTCCTTCCGGAATCACGCCGTCAGACTTCGAGCGCTTCGCCTGGTGTGAATTTTCATTGCCCTTATTTGAAGCTGAAGGATTACTGTTGGTTTGCGTGTACCACAGGTTAGTCACACAGGTATTCCTGGTATCGCGATCGGTAGCAATATCGTTGGGTTAATCTGGTGTTCTTGTTGTTGTTATTGTTCTTGTTAAGGAGAGTATCTAAACGCGAAGGCTCGTGATATGGAAGGAGGGAGCTGAGGTGTGTCACGTGCCGAAGACACGTGACATAGCTCGGCTCCGTGTATACCTAGCGATTGCCGTTTGTTCCCACAATTACAATCTTCCTGTTCCATGTGAGGACTTAGCTTTCCTAATTGGATATTGCGGCTTACACAATTTCACGTCATCCACGGGAGCTCCGCTACGCAATCAAGGGTTTTCCATTTGTGGTATCACTACATGTAGTTATCGAACGGTCTGGTCAGGTTGAAAGCCATTCACGACCCCATAGCTCTAATCACTGAATCTTACCATGTTAGCGGTAGTAGATTCTTCATTCCATCTCCAACCTGTAATAGGCGAGAATTGCTGGGAATGTTCAAGGATGGAAATACTGCCTCGAGATTGTCTCACTTTGGAGGATGATGTGTTGTTATTGTAGTAAATTGGGGTCCATTTTTGCGTTCATCCCTTCCCAGCCTGCCGGTAAACGTGCACTGCCCACGTACCCGAGGATTGTCTGAGCCCAGTTGGGGGCTATTGAGCTTGGAAACTTGCGGTCCGCGGATAGCTGATGTACCCGAGGATTGATCGGAATTTGAACAAATTTCTCGTTGTGGAATACCCTACTTTACCAAAGGGTTCAAGAGATACTATAGCCGGGCGGCCGGGGAAGTAGAATAACCATAGAGTACTGCGAGCAGGGGGCCTGATTGAAAGAAAAGAATCTAGCTTTAGCGTAAGTTTACCATTGACTCCATAAACAATGATTCGAAATCCGATTTCCTTGATTGACAAACTTATGTCGTTGTTTGCATCTTTGGGTAGTCGCCATTCACTTGTTCTCGTAAATGATCCGGATGGATGATGGTTCCACTCGCTTAAGGTAAGGTAGCCAGCTCCAGAGCAAGACCCTGAACTCCACACGATGAATCCTTGCAACTTGGCGTGCGTATGGAGACGAGATGGGTGGGTCGATGGAATGTCGTAAGAGGAGCGTGACTAGCATGTCCCCAGTGACATTCAAGAATTGCTAGGGCAAAAGGGAGGGTTAAAAAGTGAAATAGCTTCCCGCACTAGCAGGCATGGGCCAAGCCTTTTCGAATTATTCGTGAATCCAGAGTGCGCAGTAGCAACGTGACACAGCGGTTTTCAGTCTTAGAATCTTCGGGTCTTTCTTGAGGGTATTTTGGACCACTCCGTCATGGACAACTCCGACGAGACAATGTAGTGGTTGTTTTCCTCGATCATGAGTGGTTGGAGGTTGCACCGAGAGACAAGGCCCAGCCACGGGAGGGCAGACAGAGTGAGAATGAGAGTGAGAGTGAGAAGTGAGACTCACTGAGAGATTGAGAGTGAGACCGAAAGTGAGAAATGCCATGTTCCAAAGTACCATGGAGCTTGGGCCCCCACTAGACCGCTACGGGTACACGTGCAGCTCATTTCATTCGTCAATCAGATTTAGCGCCCTCGAAAAACTCAGACAGGCCACCGCGGATTGGTTGGCTGAGGAGATTAGTCATCGGCTGGTCCAGAATAAGCGGGTCTACTGGCCGACGCGGGTTGGTCCTTTTTTTTTTTTCTTGTTCGTTTTTTTTTTCTCTTTTCTCGTTGCAGCTGTTTGTCACCACTTCCCACCCCCCCCGACCGTCCAACCACCACGGAAAAAAAACCACAGCAGGTTGTTTTTCCAAACCTGCCTCACCGCCCACCGAATGTTCGTTCCCGCGTCCATACCCTCCCAGGATCTTCGGATGGAACAGGCCAACAGTCAACACAATGTCTTCGGAGCAAGATTATCAAGATCTTTTCGGTCCTCAAGCCAAGAGGGCCAAACGTGGTCGAGTAAGTCGATGGGGTCGAACCTCCTCTCTGCGTGATTCCCGTTCCCTGTTACCGGGGTCTGGGTGACATGCCAGGGAAAAAAAAAAACTAAAAAAAACTTCTTTGGACTTCAGCTAAAATTTTATCTCTTCTCTCTCGACGAAAACTGACCTGTTCCTCGAGCAACAGCTGCAAACCGACAAGTCCGCGAATGCCATTCGAATACGCGATAATCAACGACGATCACGCGCCCGCCATAAGGAGTTTGTCGACGAGTTGCAGCGCAAGGTCCAGGACTACGAGAAGCGGGGGACCCAGGCCTCGTTGCAGATGCAAAAGGCTGCTCGAGACGTCGCCTTTGAAAACTCACGATTGGCGACCGAAAACACTCGTTTGCGCGCCCTGCTGGTTAGCAAGGGCGTATCGAATGGAGAGGTGGACGCACACTTGCGATCGTTCGATGACGAAGGCAGCAAAGGCTCGCCCACCGCGTCAAACACGACGACCCTCGCTCCCATCCTCAACACACCCATTCTCCTCGAACCATCACCGACCCAATTGCCTCCGCTGCAGGAACACTTTGGCAAGGCCAGCTTCTCGTCCGAGACGGAAAACGAGCATCTGGCATCCAAGAGGAAATTTGGAGACTCGCTGCTCCCGCCGGTACTCACCCTTACTCCAACTCCTGATGTCCAACAATCCTCCCCGCTAGACAGGCTCGCCGTCCTCGCCGACGCTAGTCTCAATCGCTCCTCCCAAACTGGCTCGGCATCCAACACTGTCTCGGAACCATCCAGGAGCCCTCATCCCTATCATCGTCGGAGTGAGACACCTCCCCGTCCCTTGGAATCCCATCAGCAGCCCCCACCGGCTGCCTCGCCGCTCGAAATGTCTTGCAATGCTGCGGCACGTATCATTGCCGATATGCAAGGACAAAGCGACGACCGGGCCACTCGACTGGCTTTGGGCTGCGGCGCTCAGGATGAAGAATGTTTTGTTAGAAACACGTCTGTCTTCCGAATGCTCGATCATCGATGATGAGACCAGCCCCAAACGGTCTACCAGCTCGCGACAGGCTATGGCTCCTGTATTGATGACTCATGATACCCTGGGTACTATTTGTACAACTCTACTCAAGTTATTTTCGTCGCTAGTATGGATATCCTGCGCATCAACAACGCGTGTGTCTATTCGAAGACGCACCAAGGGGTCCTTTCGCACCCCAATACCGCCAGTTCATCACTTCGGAAGCCGATGACAACGGTTGAGTGCGACTAGCGAAAAGTTGTTCCTCAATAGGTGTTATCATCGACGGACTAGTCAGGACGACCTGATGCGTGCGTTCGCTTCTGGCGCGGGAATACTGCCTACCACAGAGATCGAGGATTGGCCGCCCAAGCTGAGGGCAGTCTCACTAGCCACACGGTAGATTGACGGATCGCGTTTGAGGTCGACCACCTCCGCGGCTCTCCGGCAGACATGCTTGGCTCAGATTGATACCCTCAGCTTTCCCTGCCTCTAAGCGTCCGCATACTGTTCAAGCCGCAAACCAGTCGAATATCGATCAGCTGTATCGTTTACTGTGGAGAGCGATCGAAATTGAGGAAGCTTGCGTTGTGCGTCATCCTGCGATCGCACCGGGAGCGCCCAGGAAGCGGCCGTCGATTTTCACCCGTTGCATTTCAGTGATGTCCCTGCCCGAGTCATTATGGACTCCGCGCTGAAGGAGCCCGTGGACTCATCGCTGGGTCACCGAGCGAATACGCCAGGTTCGACTTGGGCGAGTGCACGAAGCTTGAACCATGTCAATGGTGAATGATCCATCCAAGAGCGATCGACACCATCCGAGTAATTGTTACCTAGCTGTACATGTAATGTTATAATGTAAAAGGCCACGAAGCCACGCCCTCACCACTGCCTAAGCTGAGTTACGTACTTGCGATTCCTCATACCTACATATATCAGTGTGTGCATATGCTTAGGTAGCATTCTCCTTTCTGTTATCGTCCAGTCCATGACTTCTACTCCCAGCTTGCTCGATCTACATTCGCTAGTGCATACTGGTTTGTCGGTCTGCGTCAGTATCCACATTTCAGATGATGCAACCATATTGGATTTCTTTGCACATCGAGATAATACCTTGTCGTTCAGTCACGTTTCTTGTTTACTCAGTCTCGAGGATATCACAGACAAGTCACCAATACTTCGCAACACGAGTCCGTCCTATTCAGCAGGCTTGATAGACTGCACAAATCGAAACAAATCCGTCGGATCATAATCAGCTTTAATCCACTCCAACCTCCTCAGATTACTCCCCCAATACAACGGCACCGCCTCGCTCGCACTAAACTGGGAATCAGGATAATTTGCATACATCCCCCACTGATCGTTACCCAGCCCCTTGGTGATACTCTGCCTCAATCCCTGGAGCAGCGCGAATCCATCTGAAGGGTACGTCTGGCTCGTCGAGACGCCGTCCTTGAGCTGGAAAAGGAGCATCTTGTCGCGGTGGACGTAGGCGGTGTCGTTGGTCTTGAGCCGCGCCACGGCCGAGTTTGAGCCCCCATGAAAATTCATGTGCATGTACCAGGTCCGGGACGCGGTGAGACCATTTCTCGCAATGGTGTCGACGAGAGATTGGAAGGTTGTTTTGTTGAGGGCGGGGGTTGTGAGGCTTGATGCGTAGGAGTTGTCGTGCTGTTTTATCGTCTGGTGTCAGTGAATTTCCTCCCTTTTCCAGCTTCGGTAGGGTATGGAATGAAGGTCTTCGTTACCTCGTTGTACGTTGCCGTCGTCACGTCAATATCAGTCACACCCGCATAGTGCTTGATGAAGTCAATCCATCCCACAGTCTTGGAACTAGACACCTTGGCGCCAATCTTCGCAAGCAAAGGCTGCACTGTCGCGCGAAAGCCCACATCATCACCAACATACGCGCCATTGATGTAGCTCCCGTCATTATTAAACGTCGTCGACATCGTCAGCTCCGCCGGCATAGTCTTTGCGAATTCCTGCGTATCGACCAGAACCTGTGGCAGCTTCGCCGTGTCCCAGACTAGATCGATGTCGAAATACGTCACTTTCTCGGGCGCGGCAAAGGTATTGAACTCAAATTCTGCCACGATGACCATGGACGAACCCGCGCCGCGGACAGACCAGAAGAGGTTAGGTCGCTCGGTCGCTGAACAGCGCGTGATTGTGCCATTGGCGAGGACGACTGTTGCGGCTTTAATCCAGTCTGCGGCGAGGCCGTAGGTATGGGAGACCATGCCGTGGCCGCCGTGCAGAGCGTGGCCGCCGACGCCGACACTGGGATACGTGCTAGTCAAGCCACGATGAAGCTGCATTGATGAACGAGTTCAAGACTCAACAATCAACCAAATCAACACTCACGCTGGGCATGTCCCATGAGATATTGCTCTCTTTCCCTGCTTATACAACTCCGTCGCAAAGTGTCCTAGCCGCGCACCAGCCTGGACCTTGGCTGTTCCATCGCTCGCGACTGTCACGCTGTACATGCGATCCAGGTTTATCACAAGATGTCCATCTTCGCCGCCGTACCCGGCCGAGATGTAGCTGTGTCCGCCACTCTTTGCACTGACGCTGATGCCATTCTTGGAGCCGCATGTTACAGCGGAAGCGATCTGAGCGTTTGTGGTCGGGAAGGCAACGAGAAGGGGCTTTACGGGGACTCGGAGGTTGTATGGCGTCGGAGCTGAGGATGCGATGGGTACGGAAGCGGTGCGGAGGCAACCTGTGAGGTCGTCGAGGGGGGCGCTGAGGACGAGGGTTACCTGAGCTAGGAGGGCTATTACGAGATGCATTTTTGGCGAGTTTTCGATTCTCATCACTCGCTTTGGATGTTTTCATGGACTAAGTCAGTCGGGGAAACTTGTTTACTTATGAACTCTCATAGGAGGCTCTACATCACGCCAGAGTCTTGGCAAATTTGATCATGCCCTCATTTTCCCACACAACCTGCGCCGAGTCTTCCTCCCGAGCTGGGATTTTGATCTGGTATTTTGATCCTGTGAGTAGCTGGATTGCCTCAATTCATGATCGTCTTTCGGTGGCTGCAGCCGACTGGGTGAATACGCACACCTGGTCTGGGGGTTCCTGTCGTTTCCCCAGTGTGGCTGCATAGCATTCTCGTCCCGTCCCTACGAGAACCTGCAGGTCGGGTGCGCTGCATGTCAGCTCGTGTATGCGCGTCTCAGCCCATGAGATTTCGCTTATGTAAAAGTCAGTAGTAATTGCTGAAGGACATTATGCAACTCGTCCAGGTGACTACTTGAGAACCTTAGCTGAAGCAAAGCGATATTGTCTGGCCATGATCTTGCCGACAAGATTGATTGACGACACGGTACATGTATGCAGATTCTACAACGAACCCCCTAGAACTTGATCAAGTCTGAGCCCAGAGTTGAAAAGGAACAACTTTTACTCTCAATGTCATAGACTTTCCTACGAAAACTGTATTCGAGCAGGACACTGTTAGTCCTAAATTTCATCTGAGGTACCTTAACTAAGTATAAATTCTCAAGTTCGACATCAGCTAACTCGATGTTATTTTACTTAAATCTCCAGACGTTTACATGCTCCAGACTGCAGCAGGCCGGATGGATCTGCAATGCATAGCCTCACTATAAGCGCCAGTGGCCTTTGGAATGCAACCCAACAACTCCCAGGCTTCTCATCAGGCTGACTGACTGTTGGACAGTCGACCTCCAGAGGAGCATTTTTCAAACGTTCAAAGACTTCGCATGTCCTTCATAGGGTTGGCGATCAATTATAATTCAATTGTGGTGTATCACAAGTACTGGTCATCGATGTCCAGTATGAGTTCACCAAGTTCGCCAATTTCACCTCCACGAGCGGCTTACATACCAAGCAACCACACCGGTAGAGCCCATGATGAAGAAGCTGGGAGCGAATCCGTACGCCATCAAGATCATTACCAACCCTCATCGTCTACTCATCAACTCAAAACAAACGCGAGCTCTCCCATGTCCTTGCAATCCCGCATATCAATCTTTCTCAACCAACAAGTTGTTACACTAGACGTACCAGGACACAAAACCACCATTCAACTCCCGTGGTTCCAGCGCTTTGTTAACGCAAGAGACCAAGCTGATATTGAGCTTCCATTAGTTGAACATCGCCCACACCCCGCAGAGTCCGCACCAGGACTTGCCGAGCTGCGACAGACCCCTACTGGAACCTCTGACCACCCAGCCAGGACAAAAGAGTCACCAGAGAGTACCCCTATAGCGGTGCCTTCTTCAGTCATTGAAGGACTTGCCGGTGTCAAGAAAAGAGCCGGTCAATTGAACATTACGAGGAAGGTACCCAGTCCGCCACACCCAGTCGTCCAACGTAGGAATGAAATAAATGAAGTTCTTGAGCCACTTTTCTCCAACGCCCCGTTCATTCTGATATGCGAGGGAAATGAACAGGATGCCTTAATCTCTCCGGTCAGACTACCAGATGCATTGGATTCAGTCAGCTTGTGGGCTACTCTGTCTGGAGTTGCGCGGCAGCGTGCTTGGCGATGGAAACGATTGCTGGGCCCCGAGAGACTTGAGCTAGTCAATGTAAGTGGATATCGTATAGTTTTGGATATGGAATCACCAAATCCAAGTTACGATCCAGATTGTTGCTGATTTTGAAATCCGAAGCTGAGAATCATCGGCCGGCACGCTCGTACACTGGGTGCATTCCGGGGACAGTTCCAGATCGTCAACATTGCCAAGAGAATCGAGGAGCTCCAACAGATAATCAGCAAATATGAGTATTATATGAATGAACCATCGAATCCCGACGCGAGCGAGTATTGTTGCTACCATGACCTAGAATTGGACATGGTCATGCACGGCTACGAGGTGTGCTACTGGGCAAGGGGGGATGACTACACAGTACCCAAACACAGCTGTTGCGATGTTCAAACGCATGTGGACAGGTTGACAGAGCTTTCAAAGCTCAAGATGGCCTCAGCCTGGCACATGATCCTGGCCTATCCAGAGCTAGCCGCGGGAAATGATGTGCTTTACGATAAATGGATCTATTCCTCCAAGTGAGCAGGTTTTTGCTGTCTTTGCTGTTGTGTGATGATAAACCTTACTTGCTGACAACTTCTCCAGAGACATCATACCACCTATGAAATCTGCCCTGTTTCGGGCAGTGGCAGATATTGAGTTCATCGGCTTCCGCATCGTGGAATGGCCCTACATCAGCTTTAGCACACCATCTATGACTATTACGGTAGGGAGCACAGTGGTTTTTGGCCTATTTGTCATCGTTTCCCAAGCCATATATCGTGACTGGGGAGTTGCTTATACGGCAGGTGCCTTTTTTGTGGCCTTGGCTGGAGTGTTGACTACCTGGATTGCTTGGACATCGACAGGGTGATACCATCTTTACTACCGCCTCAATCCCGAAGTCGTCTATGTCTATTGTCTCCAATGCTACGGAGGGCATATGATAGGAGGTGGTTCGTGTGTTAATGTGGGTTCAATGTCGGTCATGTCTCTTGAGTTAGGGAGACACAAATCGAGAAGGGCACACTAAAAAGTGGAAGCTTTGGTTCGCCCTCCTCACTAAGAAAGAGCCTGGGTGAAGAAACCTTTCAGGCTTTCATTTTCCATAGTCTACGATGCTCCTTCTATTTGTGTCCAAGTGATAGTAGACGCACGTAACAATCTTTCGGCTTGTACGTCAAACCTTCCCTGGCACCGTAGCCAGACAACTCTCTCGGGCACGGAAGAAGCTGAAAGTTCCACACAATCTGCGCCAGAATGATTCTCAACTCCAAGTAGGCCAGCCTCCTCCCGAAGCATCCGCGAGTTCCCAACCCAAAGGCTAGTTGAGGCCCTGCCTGCTGGTCAAACTCAAAACCACCGGGTACGCTAGATGACTCGACGAGCCATCTCTCCGGCTTGAACTGCCCAATATCATCGTCATCCCACGCCCGGGCCTTCGCACCTTGGCTGCTCTGACTGCGATTTGATTCTTCGACGTTGAATGCCGGTTTCATCATGCTGTGGCCCTTGTTCAAGCACATCACAACCGTTCCCTTGGGAATGTGGTGCCCTAGCAGCTCGGTGTCACAGGTTGCTTCGCGGTCGACTAGTGGCGTTGCGCCGCCGCATCGCAGGATCTCTTCCACTGCAGCATCAAGGTATGGGACTTTCGTGGTTCCTGCAATCTCCTTGACCGTCGGACTGCGTTTCTCGGCGACGGCATCAGCAAAGGTGGCTCGTAGTGCTTCGCGCAAGTCGGTCTGCTTTTGGGGGTTATCCGCGAGGAGTTTGATACCCCAACACATGGTGGTGCTGGTTGTATCGTGGCCTGCAACTACTACCCCAAAGATCTGGGACAAATGTTAGTTTGCGGCTTGGAGTTTGCCTGCAGATAGTCCAGCACCTACCTCGTCAACCATGATCTCGGAGAAAAAGTCCGGAGCCCTGCCCTCGCTCTCTGCCAGCTTCTTCTCTCGAAGCACAACAAGCTCAACAGCAGAGAGGACCTTGGACTCCTCATCGCCAACTTCCTGTAACCTCTTTAACGCCTTATAAATCTCTTCTCGCACATACGTTCTCTTAACATGGAAGACGCGACGTAGCGACGGGAGTCTCTCGACAAACCACCACTTTATTCTCGGAATCGGTGAGCCTTGAAGGTATTCGATCGAGTTCGCTACACCGAGCGTCGCCTGGATCTTTTCGTCGCAATCTCCCGTTGGAAATACCAAGGCCTCGTCGCTGCTGGGACTCGAACCCCGTAGGCGCTTGATATCCTCCGCACCTAACCCCTTGACGAGGTCCGCTGTCGGGCGAAGCGCGCTGCTAAGGAAGCTGCCGCCAAATGTAAACGCCATGACGGCGTCCAGAGAACCGTAGTAGATATCCAACTCCGCAGAGAAAGGCCTACCCTCTGCGATGCGCGCCTTATCGTTCCACAGCTGAATGAGTCTCGAGACCCCCGCATAGACCGTCGGTGCCGCTACTTCGTCGAGGAACTGCGGCGACATGAGGTCCTGGAGGAGCCTGCGGTGCCTCTTCCACTCGTCGCCGGTCTTGAGGTGAATGTGGTGGTTGCGTCCTGCACCCTCGAGGAGGTCGGCATCGAGAGACGATCGGTCAAAGTCTTTTCGCCGCATGAGGATGTCCTGGGCTTCCCGGAAGTCGGAGAGGATCAACAACGGCTTGCCGAGGGGACGGACGAAGACCTGGAAGAGTGGCGATTTGAACTTGTCCGCCTGCTCGTTGACCCAGGCGTTGAACTCGCCGGTGCGTTTGATTCCCTCGAGGACGGAGGGGATGTCTCCCAGTATGCGCTTCGTCGCTTCCGCATTGTAGGGGATTCCGGGGATCGGCTTGGGCAGAGCCCAGTTGTACAATAGATAGAGGAGAACTCCTGCTACAGCAAGGACGGCAATATGCGATGCGGAAGGGGAGGACGATATTGTAGTAGCATGTTGGTCGCCCAGAGTCCGCCCAGGTAGTGCGGTGCCTAACATCGTGGGTGGATGTGGGAGGTTGTCGTAACGCAAGCCCAGGGACACAGATGCAATGATGTAGGCCCTCTCTCTTCACACCTGAATGAATACGATTGATTCAGCTGGCATCACTACCTTTATAGAATCAAAGCTTCCGTGCAAGGAAGATAGCAATAGCGGGTTCGGGATGGATCCTCGGCCGTTACCCTCTGGTAGTGTGGGTGTTCCCCGATTTACCTTCACGGTTCTGAAGCCCCCCAAAGATGAACCAGGTGCCTGGACCACGGTAGATAGCCCGCGGATCACCGATTGCGGCAGATTACTCCACCAGGGCAGAAGGGCAAATATTAGAGTATCATCAGATTGGGCCCCTGGCGAACGTCTTTCCAGACACGGCAACCGACTCGCGGGCGGGTTGGGTGACGGGTCGGGAAAGACGATGCCGGGTAAGGATGACCCCCGTAGGAATCATCGCGGTCCTTCGCAGGGTTTACGCTGGCACAAGCTCTATCGTCCAGTTGACGGGGCGCCAAAGCATGCTGAGGCACGCGAGCCTCGGGAACTTTGGCGTGGTCTTAGCGTGCTATGGCGTGCCACGTTCCTTTTACGATTTGGGTTGTCGGGACTAGCAGCAAGTGACAGGTCTTTGTCTGGTCAGAGATTGCTCCAAGAGGCGTCGCGCCCATGGCTAACTTACAGACATGAGGCTGAAATGCCGAGATTAAAGCGGCTCGAGGCATTCTTTGGCACTGTTTGGTTGGACAAACGTGGATGGATTCGGATGATGGCCTGGCACGCCTGGGTAGCAACAAGCGATTCACATTGAAATTTCTAGCTGCTGGGGGCTGAACTCGCCTGAGGCGAGAGACACTTGCGGCCCCGTGTCGAGAGGTTTAGCGATGCCAGCTGCTCCACCACATGGATGTCTTAGATTGTCTTTATATCGATGAGTTGACGAACCAGAAAAAGCAAAGTAGCGGTCAGCGAGGAATGAGGTGAGAAATGATGGATAATTAACTAAGGTACAACCGGGACTCCGGGAGTCGTCCCAACTTTGTGCGCACAGATGTTCGAGATGCGGCACAACTGATTTCCTCCAGTGACAAACAGTCAAGAAAATCATCTTCAACCACATCGAAAACACCAAAAGAGAATTCCTTGGTGGATTTTAACCACTGCAACTCCCCGAGGTGGGCTCGAACCACCAACCTCCAGATTAACAGTCTGACGCGCTAGCCAATTGTGCCATCGGGGATACGCTCGAAATGAGCTGTAAGGATGTTGTTGACGTCAGCAGACAGTGAGCGGTATTATCAAGTGCAGTGAGTACGAAGTACAGGTAGTTTAGAATGGACGGGAGTGGTTAGGCTGTTCTTCAGCACTCTAGACTGTAAGATACCGGATTACAGTATCAGTTGTCATGTTTGCTCTTCTTGGAGTGAGTATGGTTCAATTCCTTGGCGTTAACTTTGCAGAATCCTGAAAATCTTTTGACCACAACCAACGACAATCAAAGCGCGAAAAGTTGCCTATGGCTTCCTGACTCTGCGGTAAGTGTTGTGGAAACTCCGATGAGAGAAACTGCTGTGTCGAGTACGAGCCAAGAAACCGAAGTCAGTTGGCAAATTGCACCACACTGGCTTCAACAAGTTTAGAGCTCTCCCCACTGGCACTCATGAAATCGTTCTTCTCAACCTGCGCATCCGGGATTGACGCGTTAGCAAACACCCGAGATGAAATCCTCGCTTCGAATGGAGAGAAGGTTGACATACCTTAAGTGCTTTCTGAACACCATTTTAGTCTCCTATGCGAAAATCGCGGTCTTGTGTGCTTGAAACTCTACATGTACTAACCAACTCTTCGTCGAAGAGAGTTCGTACAGATTGGGCATGGCTAAGGAACACGGAATCTTCGATTGCATCTCAGTGCCCCAATGGTTCCCGCATTTCCCTACCAGCTTTGGCCCGCCAAGTGTCGTCCCCCACACTCCCCAGGACCCCGCAAGTTGTCACGAATCAGCATATAGAGTAGCTCATGGAAATCGGGATCTCAACTGTGGTCTAATCAACTATGGAAAGGGGAAAAGGGAAGCCCTCGAGGGAGCCCCTTTTGTATGCCCATACCCCTGTCTGCCCCTTATCTCTACCCCTGAGATATCCACTGCTATACCTCTTTCGTGACACAAGTCAAGACGATGGCATTCAACAACGCCGACCAGCAATGCCTGGACACTGGAACGGAGCTGCTTTAGTAGCAATCTGTGCCTGATTATCTGACTTCATCTTTGAGCCAACATGCTATTTTGCGAATGTTACAACATTGGGGGAAATGGTCGGGTGCTAAAGGCTACTCTCAACCGGAGTAAAGGTAGACTAGAATTAATCTGGGACTGGCAAATCGCAGCACGAATAGCTGGCTCGTCTCTGCTTCCAGGAGACATCGATCTCCGGAACAACATACGCGCTGTGTGGGATCTGCGGGGTATCGAACGTGCGGACCTTTATTTGCTGAAGGCACCGGTCGGCTCCCGGCAATCTCAACCACCGACACTTCGGAAAAGCCGAAAGACAATACCTACCACATTACGCATGCTCTTGTCGTCCTTGTAACAATGTTCGCTCAACCTTTGATTTATCACCTAGAACGCCAAGTATAGTTTCCAAGATTCATTGGCAAATATCACTTTCAGCAAAGGAACATGCTCAAACCACAAGCCAACTCGACTCGAGACGTCGTCTCTTTAGACGGCATCTGGAACTTTGCCATTGCATCATCGCCCGACATTGACGCAGATGCACCATGGGATAAGCTCTTGCCACCAAAGCTTCAAGTACCCGTACCTGCCAGCTACAATGACATTTTTGCCGATGAGAAGATACGCAGTCATGTTGGTTGGGTCTACTACCAGCGCCAAGTCACAGTACCTCGCGGGTGGTCGCCCACGGATCAGAGATATTTCTTGCGATTTGATGCAGCAACACACCGCGGGCGTGTCTACGCCAATGACAAGCTGGTCGCTGATCATGCTGGCGGATACACGCCCTTCGAGGCAGACATCACCGACATCATCAAGCCCGGCGAGAGATTCCGCCTTACTGTGGCCGTGAGCAACGAGCTCAGCTGGGAGACGATTCCTCCCGGCAAGATTGAGGCCCTCGCCAACGGCAAGCGAAAACAGAACTATCAGCATGACTTCTTCAACTATTCTGGGCTTGCACGATCCGTGTACTTGTGTTCGAAGCCTGCCGTGTCCATCAGCGATATCACTGTCGTAACGGACGTCTCTGAGTCGGGAGCAGGCAAAGTTCAGTATCAAGTTCAGACTTCGCAGCCGGTGGGAGACGACAAGGTCAAGATCTCTGTCCTTGACGAGGAGGGGTTGACTGTGGCTCAGGCGAATGGGACGAAAGATGAACTGACAATCAACTCGGCACATCTATGGCAACCTGGCGCGGCTTATCTGTACCAACTGCGTGTGAAGATACTGTCGGATTCTGACAAAGACGATGTTCTCGACACCTATGAGCTCCCCTTCGGCATCCGCACAATCTCAGTCAAGGGCAATCAGTTTCTCATCAATGGAAAGCCCTTTTACTTTACGGGCTTCGGCAAGCACGAAGACTCGCCAATCCGCGGCAAGGGTTTCGATCCGGCGTACATGATTCACGACTTCCATCTCATGCGCTGGATGGGAGCCAACTCCTTCCGTACAGCTCACTACCCGTACGCTGAAGAAGTTCTCGACTACGCCGATCGACATGGCATCGTCGTCATCAACGAGACCCCGGCAGTGGGAATCAATCTCGGCATCATCGCTGGTGTGTTCGGGCTTAAGGCGCCTCCAACGTTTGCTCCCGACGCATGCAATGAGAAGACGCAGGCGGCGCATGATCAAGCTATCAGAGAGCTCGTGGCGCGGGATAAGAACCATCCGTCGGTGGTGATGTGGACGGTCACCAACGAGCCTGCGTCTGCGGAGCCCGGCGCGAGGGAGTATCTGGAGCCGCTAGTCTCGTTGACCCGCGAGCTGGACCCGACGAGACCGGTGTGTTTCGCAAACATGGGCTTCGCTACGTTCGAGAAGGACCTCGTGACAGACTTGTTCGACGTCATCTGCTTGAACCGCTATTATGGATGGTACTCCCAGACAGGCGATCTAGAAGAGGCTGAGAAGGTTCTGGAGAAGGACTTGCTTGGATGGCAGGCCAAGTACGGCAAGCCCATGATCATGACAGAGTACGGCGCGGAAGCCGTGGCGGGGCTACACGCCGTATGTGACGTTCCCTGGAGTGAGGAGTACCAAGGGAAGTTCTTGGAAATGTTTCACCGAGTATTTGATCGGATTGATGGTGTAGTTGGAGAGCACGTTTGGAACTTTGCGGATTTCCAGACGACTTCGAGTATCACCCGCGTGGATGGAAACAAGAAGGGTATATTTACGCGGGATAGAAAGCCAAAGGGCTCTGTGCAGGTTTTGAAGGCTAGGTGGACGGCTATGCAGGCGAAAGATGTATGAATCAGTTCATGGAATTATCGATATACTTGAACGCAATTCCGATCTTATCATAGTAAGCGAAAGAGTGTACGAGTCACAATCATACTAGCTGATCCGTTCCAAGTCCCCTTCGGCGCAGCCTCCGTCGGCCCCACACGGAGCCGAGGTACTTAGCTGCGGCCGGGGTGACTAACCAGTAATAGGGCTGCCGAGGCACCCCGCATCTCATCCTAGGCTCAAAACCACGAGAGCAATTGAAATAGAATTAATATCAGAAGAGTGGTCGCTCAGTTTCAACCATTTTGTTCTTTTAGCTGTATCATTTTCGTGAAACTACACAGTAGCCATTGCACGTCTTCCTTATCCCGACGTCAAGGGGACTCCCCTCAACATCTCAAAGCTTCTCGCCCATAGCCCGGCCACGGTCAACCACTGGTCGAAAATCGCAGGTGCTCATTTCAAAGATCTTGAGCTATCTTCCAAAAACCGAGAGTTGGTGATTCTTCTCAGCACGGCAAAATTCCGG